TCCTGGACAGTTCTACAGACGGTAGACATCCTGGACAGTTCTACAGGCGGTAGACATCCTGGACAGTTCTACTGACGGTAGAGATCCAGGACAGATCTACTGACAGTAGACATCCTGGACACTTCTACTGACGGTAGAGAGCCTGGACAATTCTACTGACGGTAGACATCCTGGACAATTCTGCTGACGGTAGAGATCCAGGACAGTTCTACTGTCGTTGAAGAGCCTGGACAGTTCTACAGACGGTATACATCCTGGACAGTTCTACAGACGGTAGACATCCTGGACAGTTCTACTGACGGTATACATCTTGGACAGTTCTACAGACGGTAGACATCCTGGACAGTTCTACTGACGGTAGACATCATGGACATTTCTACCGACGGTAGAGAGCCTAGACAGTTCTACTGACGATAGAGATCCTGGACAGTTCTACCGACGGTAGACATCCTGGACAGTTCTACTGACGGTATACATCCTGGACAGTTCTACAGACGGTAGACATCCTGGACAGTTCTACAGGCGGTAGACATCCTGGACAGTTCTACTGACGGTAGAGATCCAGGACATATCTACTGACAGTAGACATCCTGGACACTTCTACTGACGGTAGAGATCCAGAGCAATTCTACTGAAGGCAGAGATCCGGGACAGTTCTACTGACGGTAGACATCCAGGAAATTTCTACTGACGGTAGAGAGCCAGGACAGTTCTACTGACGGTAGAGATCCTGGACAATTCTACTGACGGTAGAGAGCCTGGACAGTTCTACTGACAGTAGAGATCCTGGACAATTCTATTGACGGTAGAGAGCCTGGACAGTTCTACTGACGGTAGAGATCCCGAACAATTCTACTGACGGTAGAGAGCCTGGACAGTTCTACTGACGATAGAGATCCTGGACAGTTCTACTGACGGTAGACATCCAGGAAATTTCTACTGACGGTAGAGAGCCAGGACAGTTCTACTGACGGTAGACATTATGGACAGCTCTACTGCCGGTAGAGATTCTGAGCAGTTGTACTGACGGTAGAGAGCCTGGACAGTTCTACTGACGGTAGAGAGCCTGGACATTTCTACTGACGGTAGACATCCTGGACAGTTCTACTGACGGTAGACATCATGGACAGTGCTACTGACGGTAGACATCCTGGACAATTCTACTGACGGTAGAGAGCCTGGACTGTTCTACAGACGGTAAACATCCTGGACATTTCTACTTACGGTAGAGATCCTGGACATTTCTATTGACGGTAGAGGGCCTGGACATTTCTACTGACGGTAGACATCATGGACAGTTCTACTGACGGTAGACATCATGGACATTTCTACCGACGGTAGAGAGCCTGGACAGTTCTACTGACGGTAGACATCCTGGACAGTTCTACAGGCGGTAGACATCCTGGACAGTTCTACTGACGGTAGACATCATGGACAGTGCTACTGACGGTAGAGAGCCTGGACAGTTCTATTGACGGTAGAGAACCTGGACAGGTCTACTGACGGTAGAGAACCTGGACAGGTCTACTGACGGTAGAGAGCCTGGACAATTCTACTGACGGTAGACATCCTGGACAATTCTACTGACGGTAGAGATCCAGGACAGTTCTACTGTCGTTGAAGAGCCTGAACAGTTCTACAGACGGTATACATCCTGGACAGTTCTACAGACGGTAGACATCCTGGACAGTTCTACTGACGGTATACATCTTGGACAGTTCTACTGACGGTAGACATCATGGACAGTGCTACTGACGGTAGAGAGCCTGGACAGTTCTATTGACGGTAGAGAACCTGGACAGGTCTACTGACGGTAGAGAACCTGGACAGGTCTACTGACGGTAGAGAGCCTGGACAATTCTACTGACGGTAGACATCCTGGACAATTCTACTGACGGTAGAGAGCCTGGACAGTTCTACTGACAGTAGAGATCCTGGACAATTCTATTGACGGTAGAGAGCCTGGACAGTTCTACTGACGGTATACATCTTGGACAGTTCTACAGACGGTAGACATCCTGGACAGTTCTACAGGCGGTAGACATCCTGGACAGTTCTACTGACGGTAGACATCATGGACAGTGCTACTGACGGTAGAGAGCCTGGACAGTTCTACTGACGGTAGACATCATGGACAGTTCTACTGACGGTAGAGAGCCTGGACAGTTCTACTGACGGTATACATCCTGGACAGGTCTACTAACGGAAGAGATTCTGAGCAGTTCTACTCACACAAAATGTACTTAGATCTATAGTGCAGAAGCATTTACTAATTAACGAAAGATATGAATTTAGTCTTAATTGTTAAAATCTGATAATCAAATTATATTACATATTTTAGATCAATGTTAAAAACACTTTTTTGTTTGTTTTCAAACATTGAAAGAAGAATAATTGAACAAAACCAACTTAGATTATGAAATCAATTTCTATTCAACATCCGAAATGTTTCTCCATTAGTAAATTCTGGCATTTAATTGTCGTGTTATTTACCAAAACTTGTTTGTTTACGAGCTAGTCTAATGGGAACAACAATGAAGAGACACCATTATAATATAGAGTACCGATTGATCGCTGGCAGTTAACATAAGGGTACACAGAAGGACGAAAACTGACCTGTTATCTTTTATTACTGTATATATATCCAGGTCACTGTCAGTCCTATCATCCGGATATATGTGAAATGTATGTACAATACTCTATCCATTGTAAATATAATGTGTACGTCAAGGTCACTGTCAGTCCTATCATCCGGATATATGTGAAGTGTATGTACAATACTCTATCCACTGTAAATATAATGTGTAAATCAAGGTCACTGTCAGTCCTATCATGCGGATATATGTGAAGTGTACGTACAATACCCTACCGACTGTATATATAATGTGTACAACCAGGCCACTGTCAGTCCTATCATCCGGATATATGTGAAGTGTATGTACAATACCCTACCGACTGTATATATAATGTGTACATCAAGGCCACTGTCAGTCCTATCATCCGGATATATATGTGAAGTGTACGTACAATACCCTACCGACTGTATATATAATGTGTACAACCAGGCCACTGTCAGTCCTATCATCCGAATATATGTGAAGTGTATGTACAATACCCTACCGACTGTATATATAATGTGTACAACTAGGCCACTGTCAGTCCTATCACCCGGATATATGTGAAGTGTATGTACAATACCCTACCGACTGTATATATATTGTGTACAACCAGGCCACTGTCAGTCCTATCATCCGGATATATATGTGAAGTGTACATACAATACCCTATCGACTTTGTATAACGAATAAAATCAGCACAAATTATTCAATTCCCACCTCTTTTTACATCATGTCGCAGGCTTTCTATTAGTACACACTCCTCTATACTATCTATAGTGTGTTTATACCCCAACAATATAATATCTATTTCGTCAGGTGTTAAAACTATAAACAAAAGAGAGATTTAAACGTGTACCATAAAAGAGCACAAGTACTAACTGTTCAGGAAGTCTTCAGCTCATTTGCTTCATCGAAGACATCCGCCATGTCGGTCTTAGGTCAATCATAAGTTATAACTTTGCCCTCATACTGACGCTATGTCTTTTGCCCTCATACTGACGCTATATCTTTTGCCCTCATACTGACGCTATGTCTTTTGCCCTCATACTGACGTTATGTCTTTTGCCCTCATACTGACGCTATGTCTTTTGCCCTCATACTGACGTTATGTCTTTTGCCCTCATACTGACGCTATGTCTTTTGCATCCAAGTTTAATAATTGTTTTCAGTTAAAACCGATGTTCCGATATCGTGTTTGTGTTGACATCTCTTTGTGGTTAGTGTGCTTCGATTAAATGTTAATATCGATGATAAAACTTCCTCCTGTCTTATCTGAACTAATTCTATCAAACCTACCGATAAACGTACGTATGATTGTCACATTTACATTCCTTGTCAGGTGTGTAGCCATTGGTCATTGTCTTACTGATGACATCCCTTAGCCACACCGTTACATCCATCATGCTTCTAATATATAAAACAAACGGAAAAGCATCGATGTGTAAGGAACTGTGTGAAAATATAACAGTATGCAATAATATAATATTCTTCTATATAGCGGGGTGGAGGATAGGGATATTCCAACCGAAAGGTCACTAGATGTCGTAAACCCCCAGGCTTTGTCGAGGTTTTTACGACATTTTGCAACTTCGAGTGTAGAATGTCCTATCCTTCACTTCGATTTATGAACGAATACTTTTCTCTCATTTCACAATTAGGTGGTCGGGTGGTGCAGTGGTAACGCTCTCACCTTTCACCTAGCCGTCCGGGGTTCGATTCACGGAATGGATGTGAAAAGGTATGGGGTCACCTGTCCGATCACAAGGGTTTTTCCCCGGGTACTCCGGTTTCCGCCCACAGTAAGACCCTTCGCGCGCTTCCATCCGTGCAAACAAGACTGATTAATATAAGTTGGAAAAACTTGCTTCGCAATTGTTGTAAAGTAAACAGTCCTTCAGCATACACAGTCCTCCAGCATACACAGTCCTTCTGCATACACAGTCCTCCAGCATACACAATCCTCTAGCATACAGAGTCCTTCAGCATACAGAGTCCTTCAGCATATACAGTCCTTCAGCATACAAAAGTCCTTCAGTATACAAAAGTCCTTCAGCATACACAGTCCTCCAGCATACAAAAGTCCTTCAGCATACACAGTCCTCCAGCATACAAAAGTCCTTCAGCATACACAGTCCTCCAGCATACACAATTTATTAGGAAAAGAAGATCGATTTATATCCTTTTGATGCTTAGTGTATAGTACTGTAAATACACTCTACATCACGTTCACATGATTCGTTTTAATCATTCCTCGCCATGTTTCAATGGACCCAATACAGTCTATATGTGAATGCCAAATTATGTCCCTTTCATTATTCTAACGTTAGTCCGGTCGGAGTGCTGTTCACGGGAATAACAAAGTTTCAATGGACATTTTTTCAGACTATCACCGCTGGAGTGACGATGGAGCTGAAATTCGTCCACTACAAAAACCCCGATGGAGAAGGAAGCAATGGCGAATGTTGTGACGGGAAGTCCGTGTTTTGTTTCTCGGCATGTGATCACACGTTCAACGTTTGTCTCGATAAAGTGACTGGGTATGTATGATACGTCACTAGATATACAATCTATGTAAAAGTTTAAGTAAGATACTTATCTCAGGAAGTAGGGTAAGGTAGGTACAAAAATCACTTACAATGCACAAGACTTATCCACGCGAAATGGTGATTCCTACAAATAAATTGACCAGTTTAGCTGAGCCTACAGGTGAGACAATGCCTAGCAATAAGACCAGTGGCAGATACGGAAAACCTGTAAACAAGCAAGTCTACTGAAAGTTTTGTTTCATACTTATATAAATATAAATTAAGCGAAAGGGGATCTCTTGATTTCACTCAAACACAAAGCAAGATAGTCCAAAGGCAATGTGTAATTTACTTTTATCGTTATTGGTAAAGCGAATTTGAGGGAGTGTACCAAAGCTATTTTAACCAATGTCAGAACGAGACTTAAGGCAAAAGAGAAGGTAGGAAATCAAACTGAGATTGACATACATATCAGGATTGTAATTAAAACTTGTTTATTTATAACTTATATGCAATACAATCATTACGAATTCGTCAACATTTAGTGACAAAAAATCATTTGCATGTGATTTTGTTCGTATGATCAAATACAAAGTCCATTTTTTCGTATGATTAGCTAAAGAAGACGACACATAAATATACAATCGATATGATTTTTTTCATATTTTTTACCGGTGGTGAATCTAAAGGTCGAACAGCATAAGTGAGTGTCCTTTCGGAAACTTTGTATCATCTGAAATAAGTGATGCTGACACTATCACATTCGGATCATCATTTGGAGGAGTGAAAAATCCTATGTTTTTCAGAATGAAATCCTGGCCGGTAAGTTTTGCAGTTTTAACAAATGAATTGTGTTTTGGATATTGAATGGTGTACAGTCTTTACAATGTTAAATGATATTAGTGAATAACAGAATTTTGATGTCGGGAAGTATTAATTAAGTAGATCCAAGTATTATTCGGACAATTGGACATATTTAAAGCAGCCTTGTTCTATGGACTGATCCGTCTGTTTTGTTGGGTTTATTGACCTGTGAACAATAAAGGTCATTTTGAAGCGGGGTCTCATTGAAGTAGCTGGTGGCTACATCACTGAACAATCAATGGAAGGCCCGTCGCATGCCATAAAGATCAACTTGGATACAGTCAAATATCTTACCAAACATAGTCATGTCAGCAAAGACAAGTCCGTTTCTGTGAGACACCACCTACCAGGGGTAGTGAGTGTCGAACCACGAACCTTGGATCATCAGCTTTGGTTTCACAGGCCAATGCTATGACCTATTGTGACCCAACAAAACAAACACATGTGTAGAAATGTATTTATTTACATGCAGTTTTGTATCTATATAAAGAAAAGAAGAAACACTCGAACGGTGTTAATAAAATATTCATTACCATACATGTATCAGGTTGTTAACAGAACTTGTGATTAAGTTAAGCAGTCTAACCACAGTCGTTTGTATAGTGCGCGGTATATAGGTATAAAGTGTTATCAACAATATACCATTTGTTGTTGTATGTTTTTAACTTGGTAATCGTTTTACATGTGGTTTATTCAAAATCACCTGTTTACATCTTAAAGTAAATTAGAAACCTATTCCTTAATATGATTTTTAATTGATTAATTAATTGTATACTTCAAATATGTATTCAAAAGAAAAAAAAACTACTTCAAAAATAATTGGGACAGTTTTATAGTTTAGATAATGGATGATAGTTTGAGAAGACTATTGTATAATATTGGCTATCTGTAACCCAGAAAAGAGCTTTTCATCAGAATATCAATGGTATTCTCATCTCTTACAACCCCATGTTGTATACGGTGGTATGTGATGACACTAACGATCAGAAGTCACACCATATCTGACTGCCTGAGGCTACAGAAAACATTAGTATCGAATGAGACAATTACAGGTCACAAGTGATAGTTATTGTCAGACGATTCACATATAAATAACACCTTGACATTTTTATCATTCTTACTCTAACTGGACATTTTTACTTTTTTAAAGGAAAACATACAGAAAAATGTGCACAGAAATCAGGGTTATTTTCAGTTCCAGATGTAAAAATAAGATACTCGTGAACTACTTGCACTAGAAGTCAGTGATATTACCCTGGGTATTCGTGTCCTTGTCCAGATTGTTTGTACTAGAACAAAACAGAATGAGGTTTGTAATAAATTGTAAAATATCTAGTTGAAGGGGCTGTTCTGTCTCAGAAGAGTGGCAATCATTGATAGAGTAGTAAGCTAGTCCATAACGAGTGAAGATAACATGACACCTGTATAAAATTCAAGGTGAATAAAACAACAGAGGAAGCATCTACATAGAAATGGAATCGTCACTCAAACACAAATTCGATAGAATATGAACGAAAGAAAGATTTACACGAAAATTTCTGAAATAATATATGTATGGTACAGTATACATGTGTTTCAGTATAACATGTATGGTACATTATACACGTGTCTCAGCATAACATGTATGGTACATTATACACGTGTCTCAGTATAACAGGTATGGTACATTATACACGTGTCTCGGTATAACAGGTATGGTACATTATACACGTGTCTCAGTATAACAGGTATGGTACATTATACACGTGTCTCAGTATAACATGTATGGTACATTATACACGTGTCACAGTATAACAGGTATGGTACATTATACACGTGTCACAGTATAACATGTATGGTACATTGTACACGTATCTCAGTATAACAGGTATGGTACATTATACACGTGTCTCAGTATAACATGTATGGTATATTATACACGTGTCTGTCTCAGTATAACAGATATGGTACATTATACACGTGTCTCAGTATAACAGATATGGTACATTATACACGTGTCTTAGTATAACATGTATGGTACATTATACACGTGTCTCAGTATAACATGTATGGTACATTATACACGTGTCTGTCTCAGTATAACATGTATGATACATTATACACGTGTCTCAGTATAACAGGTATGGTACATTATACACGTGTCTCAGTATAACAGGTATGGTACATTGTACACGTGTCTCAGTATAACATGTATGATACATTATACACGTGTCTGTCTCAGTATAACAGGTATGGTACATTGTACACGTGTCTCAGTATAACATGTATGATACATTATACACGTGTCTCAGTATAACTTGTATGGTACATTATACACGTGTCTGTCTCAGTATAACATGTATGATACATTATACACGTGTCTCAGTATAACAGGTATGGTACATTACACACGTGTCTCAGTATAACAGGTATGGTACATTGTACACGTGTCTCAGTATAACATGTATGATACATTATACACGTGTCTGTCTCAGTATAACAGGTATGGTACATTGTACACGTGTCTCAGTATAACATGTATGATACATTATACATTGTACAAGGGTCTTGGTTTTTTGTTTGTATGTTTTTATGAGGTCTCCTAGCCTCCATTTGTATTTGTCCTTTTCTGTCCTGTGCTCTCAGTCTATCGAGTGTAAATAGTTATTTTGTTGACATGGTGTTAATATTTTATCCACTAGTTAACTTCACGTGATAAACATTAGAGTAAACACATTATTCAGTACATATCTGACGTGTTCTACCTATTAGCCTATATTCCGTTAGCATCATCACTATTGAAGTACACAAATAATGACACGTTCTGGTCTCTATGACGTAGGTGTAAATAGGCATTCGCTGACGGCACAACACGCCGCTTGTCTTATTCAGAGATGGGTCAGTTTTGAAAAATGGCGACAAGATTCACAAACTACAGACAATTTTGGGATGTACTAAAGCACACACGCGATTAGCATAGTTTAATACCGTACCAACTCACGTAGAAACATCTTTGTCCGCAAACCAGTCTTCAATGATGTTAGGGGCCAAATTTGTGGAAATCTCCGTGAAGACAAAAATCCAAATTAACCTAAACAGATGTGATATTGAGGGTGAGTAGGTGCATTACCTGCAATATTCATCCAATTTAGTAAATTCAGGATTCTGAACTGATTCTACTGTTTATAAGACTTTTAAGGTAATCAATGAAAAGTGTAGGTGTCATCAAAACAGACTTTAAAGATTATTTGATAAAACAGTGTTAAACGACGGTTGTTTCATGGAAATTTAAATACAATACTGAAATACATGTACGTCATACAAGGTCTATGATTGATAAGGAATCAAACTTCCTTTAACTGAATCGACATGACCGATGTATGTTTAATTACTTTTTATTAAATAATAAAGAATGAATGATTGCTGTCGTGATTGTTAAAAAGACACACAATTACTCCTGTACGTAAATTATACCGAAGAAATATACATATTCTTTACACGATATGTTTCTTCTGTTCCCTAGGGATCTGTGAAACTGAAGGTGGTAGTGCACGATGCTGATCCCGGATCTAACCCAAACGATCACGTAGAATCCCTGCAACGCGAGATTTCAGAGAAAGTCTCACCCGATAGAACATCTGCCACTACGTCCAGCTACACACTCAAGAAACGGACAACGTGAGTCGCTTTGATTGGCTGAATATCTGATTAATTGTTGCCTGGCGATAAAATGTGCTTTATTAACAAAATGGAATTAATCAGGAGAAAGGATTTTTGTGTGGCATGTTTAAGGTTTATTTTAATGCTTTTAACTCAAACGAGCAATTCAGTTTAATTTCGATTCTGCGCTAAAATAGGCAAAACAATGTAATCACATATGTTGTCTGACCTGTCTACAATGGGGCAACACATCTGACACCTGTCTACGCAGGGAAAGACATCTGACACCTGTCTACACAGGGAAACACATCTGACACCTGTCTATACAGGGACACACATCTGACACCTGTCTACACAGGGTAAACACATCTGACACCTGTCTATACGTATCCATATGACATTCGAACACCAACATAGGATAAAGGGAGAGACTTCGTAACATGACATTGGAATACCAACATAGGATAAAGGGAGAGACTTCGTAACATGACATTGGAATACCAACATAGGATTAAGGGAGAGACTTCGTAAACATATGACATTTTATGACAAGGCCAATAAAGAGTAGGGGGCGTGTCATTGACAATGAAAATATTTATATAGAACATTTGTTGATAGATTTCGTTCAAATACTGATGTAGGTTTAATGGTTTTCTATATATGGCGCCAGTTCATCTAAGATAGAGGCAAAATACACAGGAAAAATATGTTCCTGTCCAAGCATATTTCTAGCAATAATAGCATACGAAAGATTGTATAAAAGACACATAAGTTAATAGCACTTTTAATCTTTTAATACAGATTTAGAGTTAGATACAGTAGAGCTAAAAAATGGAGAAAATTGCAAAGTACAGCTGTTTCTTCCTTCTATGAGAAAAATCCAAAGTCATCGAAAGAAATGTCCAAATGGAGAGGTGCGCTGGCGCCAAGTTCGTAATTTTCATGTATCAGATAATTTTAGAAGAGCATCAAGCACATGTGTATATTCTGTACCGTATCACATGGCCTTGATGATTAACGACAGGACAATGATAACATTTAACTTTTACCGCTTTATTTTCTAGACATTTTTGCACTATCATTTGATGAATAGTCAAATTAAAATATGTGCCAACATTGTAAAATATATGTTAATTCATTTAACTCTGTCATCTTTCTTACAGCCTGTCGGTAAAGGTGAAGACATACTGTGACAAGAATTACTATGGGGCTGCCTGTGATACATTCTGTTTACCACAAAATAACACAAAGGGACACTACACATGCGACAAGAATGATGGCAAAAGAGTGTGCTTACCTGGTAAGTTAAGCCGAATGTGTTTACCTTGTAGCTTAGACCGAGTGTATTTACATGGTAAGTAAGAACGAGTGTGTTTACCTGGTAAGTTAAGCCGAATGTGTTTACCTGGTAAGTTAGAACGAGTGTGTTTACCTTTTAAGTTAGACCGAGTGTGTTTACATGGTAACTTAGACCGAGTGTGTTTACATGGTAAGTTAGAGCGAGTGTGTTTACATGGTAAGTTAGACCGAGTGTGTCTACATGGTTAGTTAGACCGAGTGTGTTTACGTGGTAAGTTAGACCGAGTGTGTTTACATGGTAAGTTAGAGCGAGTGTGTTTACATGGTAAGTTAGAGCGAGTGTGTTTACCTGGTAAGTTAGACCGAGTGTGTTTACCTGGTAAGTTAGACCGAGTGTGTTTATATGGTAAGTTAGACCGAGTGTGTTTACATATTTAGTTAGAGCGAGTGTGTTTACATGGTAAGTTAGACCGAGTGTATTTACCTGGTAAGTTAGACCTCGTGTGTTCACCTGGTAAGTTAGACCTCGTGTGTTTACATGGTTAGTTAGATCTCGTGTGTTTACATGGTTAGTTAGACTGTGTGTGTTTACCTGGTAAGTTAGACCGAGTGTGCTTACCTGGTTAGTTAGACCGAGTGTGTTTACCTGGTACGTTAGAGCGAGTGTGTTTCCTGATAAGTTAGACCGAGTGTGTTTACCTGGTAAGTTAGACCGAGTGTGTTTACATGGTAAGTTAGACCGAGTGTGTTTACATGGTTAGCTAGACCGAGTGTGTTTACATGGTTAGTTAGACCGAGTGTGTTTACCTGGTTAGTTAGACCGAGTGTGTTTACATGGTTAGTTAGACCGTGTGTGTTTACCTGGTAAGTTAGACCGAGTGTGTTTACATGGTAAGTTAGAGCGAGTGTGTTTACCTGGTAAGTTAGACCGAGTGTGTTTACATGGTTAGTTAGACCGAGTGTGTTTACATGGTAAGTTAGACCGAGTGTGTTTACCTGGTAAGTTAGACCGAGTGTGTTTACCTTGTAAGTTAGACCGAGTGTGTTTACATGGTTAGTTAGACCGAGTGTGTTTACATGGTAAGTTATACCGAGTGTGTTTACATGGTTAGTGTGTTTACATGGTAAGTTAGACTGTGTGTGTGTTTACGAGTGTGCTTACCTGGTTAGTTAGACCTGGTACGTTGGAGTGTGTTTACATGACAAGTTAGACCGAGTGTGTTTACATGGTAAGTTAGACATCGTGTGTTTACATGGTAAGTTAGTGAGTGTGTGTTTACCTGGTAAGTTAGACCGAGTGTGATTACCTGGTTAGTTAGACCGAGTGTGTGTTTACCGAGTGTGGTAAGTTAGACCGAGTGTGTTTACCTGGTAAGTTAGACCGAGTGTGTTTACATGGTAAGTTAGACCGAGTGTGTTTACATGGTAAGTTAGACCGAGTGTGTTTACATGGTAAGTTAGACCGAGTGTGTTTACATGGTAAGTTAGACCGAGTGTGTTTACATGGTAAGTTAGACCGAGTGTGTTTACATGGTAAGTTAGACCGAGTGTGTTTACCTGGTAAGTTAGACCGAGTGTGTTTACATGGTAAGTTAGACCGAGTGTGTTTACATGGTTAGTTAGACCGAGTGTGTTTACATGGTAAGTTAGACATGGTAAGTTAGACCTTGTGTGTTTACATGGTTAGTTAGACCTCGTGTGTTTACATGGTAAGTTAGACTGTGTGTGTTTACCTGGTAAGTTACCTGGTTAGTTAGACCGAGTGTGTTTACCTGGTACGTTAGAGCGAGTGTGTTTACCTGACAAGTTAGACCGAGTGTGTTTACCTGGTTAGTTAGACCCCGTGTATTTACCTGGTAAGTTAGAGCGAGTGTGTTTACATGGTAAGTTAGACCTTGTGTGTTTACATGGTAAGTTAGACCTTGTGTGTTTACATGGTAAGTTAGACCGAGTGTGTTTACATGGTAAGTTAGACCGAGTGTGTTTACATGGTAACTTGTGTGTTTACATGGTAAGTTAGACCAAGTGTGTTTACATGGTAAGTTAGACCTTGTGTGTTTACATGGTTAGGTAGACCATGTGTGTTTACCTGGTAAATTAGACCGAGTGTGTTTACATGGTAAGTTAGACCGAGTGTGTTTACCTGGTAAATTAGACCGAGTGTGTTTACATGGTACGTTAGAGCGAGTGTGTTTACCTGGTCAAGTTAGACCGAGTGTGTTTACCTGGTAAGTTAGACCCGAGTGTGTTTACATGGTAAGTTAGACCGAGTGTGTTTACCTGGTAAGTTAGACCGAGTGTGTTTACATGGTAAGTTAGACCGAGTGTGTTTACATGGTAAGTTAGACTGTGTGTGTTTACCTGGTAAGTTAGACCGAGTGTGCTTACCTGGTTAGTTAGACCGAGTGTGTTTACATGGTAAGTTTGACCGAGTATGTTTACATGGTAACTTAGACCGAGTATGTTTACTTGGTAAGTTAGACCAAGTGTGTTTACATGGTTAGTTAGACCGAGTGTGTTTACATGGTTAGTTAGACCGAGTGTGTTTACCTGGTAAGTTAGACCGAGTGTGTTTACCTGGTAAGTTAGAGCGAGTGTGTTTACCTGGTAAGTTAGACCGAGTGTGTTTACATGGTAAGTTAGACCGAGTGTGTTTACATGGTAAGTTAGACCGAGTGTGTTTACTTGGTAAGTTAGACCAAGTGTGTTTACATGGTTAGTTAGACCTCGTGTGTTTACATGGTAAGTTAGACTGTGTGTGTTTACCTGGTAAGTTAGACCGAGTGTGCTTACCTGGTTAGTTAGACCGAGTGTGTTTACCTGGTACGTTAGAGCGAGTGTGTTTACCTGACAAGTTAGACCGAGTGTGTTTACCTGGTAAGTTAGACCGAGTGTGTTTACATGGTAAGTTAGACCGAGTGTGTTTACATGGTAAGTTAGAGCGAGTGTGTTTACATGGTAAGTTAGACCTCGTGTGTTTACATGGTAAGTTAGACCGAGTGTGTTTACCTGGTGAGTTAGACCGAGTGTGTTTACATGGTAAGTTAGACCGAGTGTGTTTACATGGTAACTTAGACCGAGTGTGTTTACTTGGTAAGTTAGACCAAGTGTGTTTACATGGTTAGTTAGACCTCGTGTGTTTACATGGTAAGTTAGACTGTGTGTGTTTACCTGGTAAGTTAGACCGAGTGTGCTTACCTGGTTAGTTAGACCGAGTGTGTTTACCTGGTACGTTAGAGCGAGTGTGTTTACCTGACAAGGTAGACCGAGTGTGTTTACCTGGTTAGTTAGACCCCGTGTATTTACCTGGTAAGTTAGACCGAGTGTGTTTACATGGTAAGTTAGACCTCGTGTGTTTACCTGGTAAGTTAGACCTCGTGTGTTTACATGGTTAGTTAGACCTCGTGTGTTTACATGGTTAGTTAGACCTCGTGTGTTTACATGGTAAGTTAGACTGTGTGTGTTTACCTGGTAAGTTAGACCGAGTGTGCTTACCTGGTTAGTTAGACCGAGTGTGTTTACCTGGTATGTTAGAGCGAGTGTGTTTCCTGATAAGTTAGACCGAGTGTGTTTACCTGGTAAGTTAGACCGAGTGTGTTTACATGGTAAGGTAGACCGAGTGTGTTTACATGGTTAGCTAGACCGAGTGTGTTTACATGGTTAGTTAGACCCCGTGTGTTTACCTGGTAAGTTAGACCGAGTGTGTTTACATGGTTAGTTAGACCGAGTGTGTTTACCTGGTAAGTTAGACCGAGTGTGTTTACCTGGTAAGTTAGAGCGAGTGTGTTTACCTGGTAAGTTAGACCGAGTGTGTTTACATGGTAAGTTAGACCGAGTGTGTTTACATGGTAAGTTAGACCGAGTGTGTTTACATGGTTAGTTAGACCGAGTGTGTTTACATGGTAAGTTAGACCGAGTGTGTTTACCTGGTAAGTTAGACCGGGTGTGTTTACATGGTAAGTTTGACCGAGTATGTTTACATGGTAACTTAGACCGAGTGTGTTTACTTGGTAAGTTAGACCAAGTGTGTTTACATGGTTAGTTAGACCTCGTGTGTTTACATGGTAAGTTAGACTGTGTGTGTTTACCTGGTAAGTTAGACCGAGTGTGTTTACATGGTAAGTTAGACCGAGTGTGTTTACATGGTTAGTTAGACCTTGTATGTTTACATGGTTAGGTAGACCATGCGTGTTTACCTGGTAAATTAGACCGAGTGTGTTTACATGGTAAGTTAGACCGAGTGTGTTTACATGGTAAGTTAGACCGAGTGTGTTTACATGGTTAGTTAGACCTTGTGTGTTTACATGGTTAGGTAGACCATGTGTGTTTACCTGGTAAATTAGACCGAGTGTGTTTACATGGTAAGTTAGACCGAGTGTGTTTACCTGGAAACTGAGAGAGAGTGTGTTTACATGGTAAGTTAGACCGAGTGTGTTTACATGGTAAGTTAGATTGAGTGTGTTTACCTGGTAAGTTAGACCGAGTGTGTTTACCTGGTAAGTTTGACCGAGTGTGTTTACATGGTTAGTTAGACCGTGTGTGTTTACCTGGTAAGTTAGACCGAGTGTGTTTACATGGTAAGTTAGAGCGAGTGTGTTTACCTGGTAAGTTAGACCGAGTGTGTTTACATGGTTAGTTAGACCGAGTGTGTTTACATGATAAGTTAGACCGTGTGTGTTTACATGGTTAGTTAGACCGTGTGTGTTTACCTGGTAAGTTAGACCGAGTGTGTTTACATGGTTAGGTAGACCATGCGTGTTTACCTGGTAAATTAGACCGAGTGTGTTTACATGGTAAGTTAGACCGAGTGTGTTTACATGGTAAGTTAGACCGAGTGTGTTTACATGGTTAGTTAGACCTTGTGTGTTTACATGGTTAGGTAGACCGAGTGTGTTTACCTGGTAAGTTAGACCGAATGTGTTTACATGGTAAGTTATACCGAGTGTGTTTACCTTGTAAGTTAGACCGAGTGTGTTTACGTGGTAAGTTAGACCGAGTGTGTTTACATGATAAGTTAGATTGAGTGTGTTTACCTGGTAAGTTAGACCGAGTGTGTTTACCTGGTAAGTTTGACCGAGTGTGTTTACATGGTTAGTTAGACCGTGTGTCTTTACCTGGTAAGTTAGACCGAGTGTGTTTACATGGTAAGTTAGACCGAGTGTGTTTACCTGGTAAGTTAGACCGAGTGTTTACTTGGTAAGTTAGACCGAGTGTGTTTACATGGTTAGTTAGACCCCGTGTGTTTACATGATAAGTTAGACCGAGTGTGTTTACATGATAAGTTAGACCGAGTGTGTTTACCTGGTAAGTTAGACCGAGTGTGTTTACCTGGTAAGTTAGACCGAGTGTGTTTACATGGTAAGTTAGACCGAGTGTGTTTACATGGTAAGTTAGACCGAGTGTGTTTACATGGTAAGTTAGACCGAGTGTGTTTACATGGTTAGTTAGACCGTGTGTGTTTACATGGTTAGTTCGACCGAGTGTGTTTACATGGTAAGTTAGACCGAGTGTGTTTACATGGTAAGTTAGACCGAGTGTGTTTACATGCTTAGTTAGACCGTGTGTGTTTACATGGAAAGTTAGAGCGAGTGTGTTTACATGGTAAGTTAGAGCGAGTGTGTTTACATGGTAAGTTAGAGCGAGTGTGTTTACATGGTCAGTTAGACCGAGTGTGTTTACATGGTAAGTTAGAACGAGTGTGTTTACATGGTAAGTTAGACCGAGTGTGTTTACATGGTAAGTTAGAGCGAGTGTGTTTACATGGTAACTTAGACCGAGTGTGTTTACCTGGTAAATTAGACCGAGTGTGTTTACATGGTAAGTTAGACCGAGTGTGTTTACCTGGTAAGTTAGACCGAGTGTGTTTACATGGTAAGTTAGATCGAGCGTGTTTACCTGGTTAGTTAGACCCCGTGTGTTTACATGGTACTTAGAGTAGTATAATATCATCAGGTTATCGAAGTGATCAGCTACCAAGTCTTTACGTTACATTGATTAAGACTGCTAAATTGGAACGAAAATATTTGTAAATAATATTTTTGCGATGAAAAAATACATGATGAATTTCGAATCGAATAGAATGTAAATCTGACGCTTAAGACCGATAATCTTATAATTATCAAACGGAAATGTTAATGCTGGAAATCAATACATATACATGTATGTAAATTAGATATATACGTGACACTGGACAATTAAAAAATATTGTAATTTGGACTAAGATGTCCTGGGACTGATAAAAGCAGACGTATAAGAATGACGATAATCCATGTGTTGACAGCTTTATTATATAATTCAAGAAGAATAAGTTTTATCGATACCTCAATGTTTTCTTCTCAGGCTGGCAAGGTCCTTTCTGCGACGACGACGGGGTCAACGAGTGTTTGAACAACGACCCCTGTCATAACAATCACGTGTGTCTCGACAGACCTGTTGGATACGAATGCGCATGTCCATTGGGAACATCTGGTACGTACCTTCGTGCACTTATCAAAAATATATTAATCCATTATAAGAGGATATCAAACCATTCCTGTCAATTAAAAAGGAAAATGCTTGACAGCATGGAGTTATCTAAGTGATTGACAATCAGAGGAAGAGGGTCTTCTATATCAATATCATGCATTAATGGGTCTCCAGTGTCAATTAACGTGACTTTATGGTATGTTTTATGTCAGGAATATTCATTAGGAATAACCTTATCATAATCAATATTGGAATCAAACGAAAGTATATAATTTAATTGTCAGATAAGCTGTACATGAAGAAAGGTCTTTAGTAAAAATCTATCGCAATAATAAGTGACAAGAAGAAAGAAAGGTGTTAGTGACAAGTAGATAAAAAGGTGTTAGTGACAGGTAGATAGAAAGGTGTTAGTGGCAAGTAGATAGAAAGGTGTTAGTGACAAGTAGATAGACATGTGTTAGTGACAGGTAGATAGAAAGGTGTTAGTGACAGGTAGATAGAAAGGTGTTAGTGACAAGTAGATAGAAAGGTGTTAGTGACAAGTAGATAGAAAGGTGTTAGTGACAAGAGGAAAGCAATGTGTTAGTGACAAGTAGATAGAAATGTATTAGTGACAAGTAGATAGAAAGGTGTAAGTGACAAGTAGATAGAAAGGTAAAAGTGACAAGTAGATAGAAAGGTGTTAGTGACAAGTAGATAAAAAGGTGTTAGTGACAAGTAGTTAGAAAGGTGTTAGTGACAAGAAGAATGAAATGTGTTAGTGACAATTAGATAGAAAGGTCAGATAACATCAAACACATGTCAGTTTCACCATGCACTAAGAAATACGATAATTGCAAGTGTTCTCATAATCAGTGATGTAACAATACATCATGCTGACTTTTCCTTATTTCTATATAGGCCTAATCGCAGATATTTGTTTTGAAAAGTATCAAGATTTGTTCATCTATCACTTCATATTTACCACTTGGTGTCATAGGGACATTTGTATTTTTCAGGAGAAAATTGTAGTTCTGTTGACTTTACCTGTGCTGATAAACCTTGTAAAAATGGAGGAAATTGTTCCATAGAGTCTGGAAATCTAACATGCTCATGTATGTTGGGTTGGAAGGGTGACCTGTGTGAGGAAACAGTGGATCCGTGTGCTGATAATCCCTGTGAAAATAACGGAACGTGTTCCATTGAACACTTTGGATTTTCTTGTGCTTGTCACGAAGGATACGTCGGTGATAACTGTAACGTTACAGTGACGACGACTACAAGTTTCACGGAGACGACAACCGTCATCGCCGATATAACAACAGAAGAGAAGACAAGCAACAAAACAGACAACACAACAGAAATTATTCCAATAACTACACAGCGACCTGAAACATCTACAGGTACAATAGCAGGCCTGTCACCTGTTAAGTGATGTTTTTAAAATTCATTCAAATAGCGGTACATACATATACTTGATGTTGTTATATGAAATTAACGAAATTTGTTTAATGATGGAGCAAGTGCATCTCTCCATCTAGATTTTGACTTTTCTTTCGATCAATTTGGATTTTCCGAAGTCACTTCTTAAGCTTCAAAATTTATAGCATCACTGACGAGTCCTAGAAGGACGTAACAGTTGTATGATGTAGCATCACTGACGAGTCCTAGAAGGACGTAACAGTTGCATCACTGACGAGTCCTAGAAGGACAAACAGCTGTATGATGTAGCATCACTGACAAGTCCTAGAAGGACATAACAGCTGTATGATGTAACATCACTGACGAGTCCTAGAAGGACAAACAGCTGTATGATGTAGCATCACTGACGAGTCCTAGAAGGACATAACAGCTGTAAGATGTAACATCACTGACGAGTCCTAGAAGGACATAACAGCTGTATGATGTAGCATCACTGACGAGTCCTAGAAGGACATAACAGCTGTATGATGTAACATCACTGACGAGTCCTAGAAGGACATAACAGCTGTATGATGTAGCATCACTGACGAGTCCTAGAAGAACATAACAGCTGTATGATGTAGCATCACTGACGAGTCCTAGAAGGACATAACAGCTGTAGTTTGCAGTTTAATAGATCATTTAGCTCTATTGTATGGAACTCTAAATTTGTGTTAAACGGTTATCTTCAAAGCATTTAAATTATTTCAGAACTTTCTTAAAACACTGAAGTAAACACTCGGCACAACTACTTTATAAATAATATTTTTTACGTGGTGGTTTCTCAGGAAAATTTCAAAATATGCTGTTATATTTTACCTGCATCTAACAATACGAGACGACAGATATTATGCCGTCTATATAGTGCAATTGTGATGATATGGAATAGCCTTAGCCATGCTGTTATTATCATTCTAGTATTGAGACTGGCATTTATAATGCTGAAAGGGAGACTACTGGGAGGTAACAAAGAGGATGTTAGGAAAGGAATAAAAAGTCTTCTACTAGAACAACTGGACTTGAAAGGTGATGTACAGGTCGCCATCCAGAATAAACCAGCACTACTTAAAAATGGGTAAGTGTATTCTGTCAACTGTTCTATATAGCTGACCATTGAAAACACTAATCCAATACGAAGGAAAAAATAACCCAGTAAAGTCCGAACTAATTGTGTAGTAATCTTCACAGCGTAAAACTCTTAACATCATTTTGTATTTGCATGAATTATCACTAAAAATCACAGATCTTAGATTTAAGAATTTAGACTCGGTGACCACTTTCCAGCATTTTAGGACCCAAATATGATTTTTTTTCAGCTGGTTTCTTGATCTTTGTAGTGAAATATGAAAATTCATTTAAAAAAGGTTGCCGCGAAAGTAACACAGAATGGCCGTTATACAAATAAATAATTTCCTGTCACACGTTTTCTGACATCTTTGCTTTTAATCTATTTTCTAAAATCAAAACTTTCAAAATTACCGTCATCAGAAAAAAGGTTAATGCCTATGTTATTTCTTTTACTTCTTAGATGAGTACATTCTTAATAAAACTTTTATTTTTGATGGTCTTATGTCTGTAAACCATTACGCCTTTCAAACAGTGAGCTGGTCACCAAGGTCATCGTAGGTGTGCGAGAAAATGGCAATTTTGTGGAACCAGCGTCCATACAGAGGGTATTCCAGGAGACAGACATGGCGGTGCTAGAACAATATATACCATTGCCTATTTACCGAGAGGGTGAGCCTAGGACGGCACCACTGTTGGAGGGGGTGAGTACAAACCATTGCCTATTTACCGAGAGGGTGAGCCTAGGACGGCACCACTGCTGGAGGGGGTGAGTACAAACCATTGCCTATCTACCGAGGGAGAGGGCCTAGGACGGTACCACTGCTGGTAGGGGTGAGTACAAACCATTTCCTATCTACCGAGAGGGCGAGCCTAGGACGGCACCACTGCTGGAGGGGGTGAGTACAAACCATTGCCTATTTACGAGAGGGAGGGCCTAGGATGGCACCACTGCTGGAGGGGGTGAGTACAAACCATTGCCTATCTACTCAGAGGGCGAGCCGAGGACGGCACCACTGCTGGAGGGAGGGCCTGGACGGCACCACTGCTGAGTACAAACCATTGCCTATCTACCGAGAGGGAGGGCCTAGGACGGCACCACTGCTGGAGGGGGTGAGTACAAACCATTGCCTATCTACCGAGGGGAGGGCCTAGGACGGCACCACTGCTGGAGAGTACAAACCATTGGAGGGGGCCTAGGACGGCACCACTGCTGGAGGGGGTGAGTACAAACCATTGCCTATCTACTCAGAGGGCGAGCCGAGGACGGCACCACTGCTGGAGGGGGTGAGTACAAACCATTGCCTATCTACTGAGAGGGAGGGCCTAGGACGGCACCACTGCTGGAGGGGGCGAGTACAAACCATTGCCTATTTACCGAGAGGGAGGGCCTAGGACGGCACCACTGCTTGAAGGGGTGAGTACAAACCATTTCCTACTTACCGAGAGGGAGGGGCCTAGGACGGCACCACTGCTGGAGGGGGCGAGTACAAACCATTGCCTATCTACCGAGGGGGAGGGCCTAGGACGGTACCACTGCTGGTAGGGGTGAGTACAAACCATTGCCTATCTACCGAGAGGGCGAGCCTAGGACGGCACCACTGCTGGAGGGGGTGAGTACAAACCATTGCCTATTTACGAGAGGGAGGGCCTAGGACGGCACCACTGCTGGAGGGGGTGAGTACAAACCATTGCCTATCTACCGAGAGGGAGGGCCTAGGACGACATGTTTCCTTGAAAGTGTAAGTTTATACATTGCTTATCTGCCAAGATGGACAGACTATTTTACATACATTGCATATCGTTACCCAGGTAACTAGGTTGTTGGAATGATTTGAACTGAGATATAAAGTCAATTGTCTCGCCAGGTGATTTCTGCAGTGACGACAGAAAGGTCCTCTTAACGATAAGGTTTGTCATGATGTTGTTAGCAATTCAATATTAATTACCGTGACAGAGATGTTTGGACAAGTCTAAACGAGTCTACACCAGCTTTATATAATAAAAATAATCAGGGAGACCGAATTATTAACGTTCTCATGTTGGTCAGATGCAGTTACATGTACCTACAAAAGGATGATATAGCAATTGGTTGTCCAATGTGTGAAGGGTACACTCCGGATTTTATCAAAATGTCAGTGTATATATTACGGTTTTGTAATTACAGGTCATTGTTATCGTATATTGCCATCTACTTTTTCTAATAATCTGTTTGTCCACTTTTCAGCACTCCAGCTGGATTCATGACAACTGGTACATCGTCCTCGTCATATTTGTCGTCATCATTGCCCTATGTATATTACTTACAGCATTTGTCGTGTATAAGAGAAAGAGGTATACAACTTATGTTTACTTACAAAACATAAACATAAATAACAGAGACTTTTCCTGCCTTTATTGGTAGAACTGCAATAGGAAAATCTACTCAAAGTGGAACTTTCAATCATTTTGTTTTCGTACTATCTATCTATTACCTTTCTTCTGATGAACTTTCAGAAGATTAATTTCAATAACAGCAATATTTCACTATATCTAACTAAATTGAAATTTCTTCAGATCTGTCAGAATGGGACAAAAAGATGTTGTGGCGAGGCCGAATTCCAGTGTAAGTGACGCCTTCCCTGCCCAGTCATTCGAAAATTCCCTTTATTTTGAGATGAACAACCATCAGCGAAAGAGCAGTAATTCCAGAGTGAAAGTCAACGTGAATCCCACATCGTGACCTGCTGTCTGAAGCGATTTGTAGACCATTGCTTATTGAAACAATGTCACGCCATGCACAATAATGTCTATGATCAGTGCAAAAATAGGTAAAGAGACCCAAATCACTGGATTTTAACGGGAAAAATCACGTGCTGAAAATAAAACATGTGATTTACATTGACATAATAATTTTACGTTTAAGAAGCGAGTGTAATTTTCTTGTGTCATGTTAAATTTGACTTACATGGGAATGTTACTTTACCATAAGTGAGGAAAGAGGAAAGAACATATCCCAGATGGAATGATCGCTGGGAGGACGAATGATTGCTGAATAGAAATGCTCAGCTCTGAAAATCCATCCTCTTGTATATTTGATTGTAAAACCAACGAATGAATTACATATTCATATTGAAACCATTTTACGCTTGAAGAGATTATCGATTTGACAATAACTTACATTCCAGAAATGATTAATGTTCACCGCCATTTTTGAAGCAGTGCTGAATAGAAGTGATTATCTATATATATATATATCCTCATGACAAACTCATATCTTATTCTTTTTCACAATCATTAGCTGTACTATAAGCGAACCTTACTAGGATCGAAAACAACTTCAATTTGTGTGTTTCATTAAACAGCATCAGTGAGTGTGTTTATCTAAACAGCATCAGTTTGTGTGTTTATTTAAACGGCATCGGTTTGTGTGTTTATCTAAACAGTGTATGTTTTTGTGTTTATCTAAACAGCATCGGTTTGTGTGTTCATCTAAACAGCATCTGTTTTTGTGTTTACCCTGAACAGCATCGGTTTGTGTGTTCATCTAAACAGCATCTGTTTTTGTGTTTACCCTGAACAGCATCAGTTTGTGTGTTTATCTAAACAGCATCGGTTTGTGTGTTTATCTAAACGGCATCGGTTTGTGTGTATATCTAAACAGCATCAGTTTGTATGTATATCTAAACAGTGTCTGTTTTTGTGTTTACCTGAACAGCATCAGTTTGTATGTTTCACTAAACAGCAACAGTTCGTGTGTTTATCTAAACGGCATCGGTTTGTGTGTATATCTAAACAGCATCAGTTTGTATGTATATCTAAACAGTGTCTGTTTTTGTGTTTACCTGAACAGCATCAGTTTGTGTGTTTATCTAAACAGCATCAGTTTGTGTGTTTATTTAAACGGCATCGGTTTGTGTGTTTATCTAAACAGCATCTGTTTTTGTGTTTACCCTGAACAGCATCAGTTTGTATGTATATCTAAACAGTGTCTGTTTTTGTGGTTACCTGAACAGCATCAGTTTGTATGTTTCACTAAACAGCAACAGTTCGTGTGTTTATCTAAACGGCATCGGTTTGTGTGTTTATCTAAACGGCAACGGTGTGTGTGTTTTTCTAAACAGTGTCTGTTTTTGTGTTTACCTGAACAACATCAGTTGGTGTGTTTATCTAAACAGCATCGGTTTGTGTGTTTATCTAAACGGCACCGGTTGGTGGGTTTATCTCTACCGCACGTGTGTTTATCTAAACAGCGTCCGTTTGTGTTTATCGAAACAACGTCAGTTGGTGTTTTCATCTAAACAGCATCAATCGGTGTGTTTATCTAAACAATGTCAGTTCGGGTTTTTCTCTAAACAGCGTCTGTTTGTTTATCTAAACCGCGTCCGATGGTGTGCTTATCTAAAGAGCGTCCGTTTGTGTGTTTATCTAAATAGCATTAATTGTGTGCCGAATCAAACATCACTTGTTTGTGTATGAAACTTATCTACAGTAGTATGTATATATAAACGACATCAGCTAGTATGTTTGATGTTTATTTAAACGTCATGGCTGTCGAGTTAAGTGTATAGACCTATATATCTGATGTTAAATAGCAACATTTGACTATCTTTTCCTTGTCTAAACTATATTAATCTGTCTCATGTTTGATTAAACGAAAACTTCATCTATGTCTGTAATTTTACTCAACACGTAATTTTCTGTTTATTTGATTTACGAAAAGTCATTCAGTTAAAGACGACAGTTATGTTCAGCGAAACAACATGGGTGTTTTAATTACAAATGCACGTAAATCGTTTCATAAATTCATGATAAAGAAAGTTATTATTCATTGCAATGAAACATTGATAATCAGAGCCCTTCGGACACCGACTTGTTCATTTACTCTGAAACGAATGTTTCTTTTTTTCATTTTAGGAAAAAATAAACGAATATATTTGTATATATATATATAATATTTTCAATGAAAATACATATAACTCCCAACCCCTCTCTCTACTTTTTTTGCCACGCTTTCGATACATATCACTTGATTTGGTGATAGAAATATGTTTCCATCATTAATCATCAACCAGTGTAACATATTGATTTCTGTAACCGACATCGAGTTTGTAGCAGCCTGATTTTGAATTTCATTCGATATTTTTGTTATTTTTATGTGATGTCGAAAAAGTGTATGTGGTATATGTCGCCTACAAATAATTGAGAATGACAGATGTTGACGCGAGAATGTCAGAATGATGTGTATATGTACCTAAAATCATTAAACCGTTTTATAGTAATCTCAAAAGTGTTTTATTGTGAAAAGGACAAAGACAGTTCCTTAATAAACGACTGGACTTATTCCATAATAAATATGTTTTCAATACATGCATATTATATAATAAAACAAAATGATTCTTACATTGTTATATTTTTCCGTATATGGCAACAGTCAAGTGTAAATACCGTATGTCAGAAATACTTTAATTCAGTGTCTGGTATTGTCTTTAGGCCGTGGCGATAACTAATTATGTATTCCTCGTTCAGTATTACATTGTTGTAATACAGTCTCGCGATACAACACAATCTAAGGTGGGCAGTGGACAACACAATATGGTGTTTAATGAGTTGGGGAAGGTGGAAGTCAATATAGTTAATACAGGGTTCTAATGGAATATTATAGTAAAGGATGATTTGTTAAAACGGAGATCAAATTTGACAGTGAATGACAGACAGTAACATATTACAACATCGCATAGGCGCCATGTATACACTGTTATTATGTATAATGAACATAAATCAATGATTCGATACACTTCCGAAACTCCTTGGAAATCAGTCTATGTATTAAAATTCTTTCACGAATGATTTTTCTCTTGCATAACCTCACCAATGGGGATCAGGTTAACAATTAAAATAACCATATACTAGTTAATATCAAAATAACGTCTGCTCATATTTTGATATATACCAGATAAAATATACAATGTAAACATTTATTTTAGAACAATAGAAACGTTGAATGAATTGAAATGCATCTATCTTGCTTGACCGGATAGGGGTACTTCGGGAGTAAACAGGAACACCCGTGGAGAGCCCGCCTGGACGGGCAGGTGACCTTATTCGGAAATCGAACCTTGCTGTCGAACATAGATGACCAAAAAAAAAAAAAAACCTGATGTCAACATAATCATAATTTAAACTCATCAGGCGAACACATCAAACACGTCCAACTTCATATCGTACAACAGAACCAACAGGTAAACTAACGAGCATCAAACACGTCCAACTTCATATCATACAACAGAACCAACAGGTAAACTAACGAGCATCAAACACGTCCAACTTCATATCATACAACAGAACCAACAGGTAAACTAACGAGCATCAAACACGTCCAACTTCATATCATACAACAGAACCAACAGGTAAACTAACGAGCATCAAACACGTCCAACTTCATATCATACAACAGAACCAACAGGCAAACTAACGAGCATCAAACACGTCCAACTTCATATCATACAACAGAACCAACAGGCAAACTAACGAGCATCAAACACGTCCAACTTCATATCATACAACGGAACCAACAGGTAAACTAACGAGCATCAAACATGCCCGGCTTCATATCGTACAACAGAACCAACAGGTAAACTAACGAGCATTAAACACGTCCAACTTCATATCGCACAAAGAAATTAGATATTTCTCGAGAAGAATATTTCACATTGACGACCGTAAAACTTCCTCATCATTTTCACCATTCTGCATCGTTCTTAACCCTATGTTACGAGTTTGTTCGTCAGCTGACGACTTCTTGAACGAAAATCGTATGTCAAAGTCTCTAAGAAAATCAAACCACCGAATCTTAGAGGATGTTGTCAACCAGAAAGTAGATAGATTTTAATAGTTTACTCCTCACTATATTTCTTCTTTGATTTGGACGTGTTTATTTTCCTTATCTGTTTTAACTTCAATTTTTAAAAAAATGTTTCTGAATAGTTCCTAAAAATGAGTTGTATCGCCGTTCAACTTGGAAAAAATAGGTTCTTTTAATAAGAAGGTATGATGCTGCACGGGGTGGAAAAATCAAATATTCTTAGAGGAGAATGTTTTCAGAAGATGATGTTGAAGATTTGTCAAAAGCTCTCCGAAGTTCCTTAAAATTCGCATACTATTAATTCTTCTTCTTGAGTAAACAGTATTTCAATAAGACTACTAATCCAGATTTAATAGTAATGACAATGGAAGTAGTAGTTTTGACAAAGGCTTCATTGAACAACCGTCCTCGATAATTCAGAGTACGGGCACAATAACGTACATGTCATGTAAATCTTTAAGTGTTCATTTAACATCAGTATCGAGGAGAGCTGACCTGTGTTGGCTTTTATTTATTTTAGTATTCAAGCTGCAACTTCTTTTGAGAATGATGGACCGCATGGATTTTACCCTCTCAGAAAGCGAATACAACGCAACATGATATCGTTTCACCTAATCTCTGACCGATATTTCAATCGACCAGAATAGATATCAGTCGATATTTCCCCCTGACTTTATTTAGTAAACACGTGATTCAACAACAACATCATATTTGTGTAAACCAGAAAATCATTGCTGTTAAACTCAGAGGCTGTTTTTTTTTATTTCGTGTATGCAAATTACATTGAACGTGATTACTATTTAGTTATCCAAAGAAATATAAACAGTTCACAACAATACTTCAAAATAATTACAGAAATATAAAAAAAATATCAACTT